AAAAAAAAAAAAAAATAAGGAAAATCACTTGGAAGTTTGTCCTGTTACAGCTGGGGAAGGGACTGGGAGAGGCCACGGAGAGGGAGAGACTCCAAATCCATTTACAGAAGAGAAATGAGGGGATTAAACTCCGTGAGACACCAAGAGTGACTCGACCCCGCAGCTTCCTTCCCCCAAGTGTCATCCCATCATTTAGGCACTAAAACACCCAGGAATCCCCTGCTCCTCCCTCCCGGTGCGGGGGAGCAGGGAGTGAGCCCGGTCCAGGGCAGGGAAAGGGCTTTTCCCCCTCCCCGGTGAAGGAATGGTTGGGAAAGGGGGAATAACACAAGGCTGCAGCCCAGCAAGGGGCCGGGGCCGAGCTCTTCGGGCAGAGCCGATCGATCCCAGGGGGCTGTGGGAGGGAAGGAGCCATCCCGGTGGGATGGGAGCCCTCCCGGTGGGATCCCCGCCTGTCCCGGGGACCACAGTGGATTAAGGCAGCAGGTGAGAGGCAGGAAGGGCACCGACGGTGAGCGTGAGCTGGACAAACGGCCGCCCCGGCGCCGCGGCCCCGCTCCGGGGGGAATCTGCTCCGGGGGGGAATCGGGGCCCAGGAGGGCGCTCCGGGGTCCCGGCGGGAGGTGGCAGCTCTGGGTCGGGGGCGCTCAGTCGGTCTTGCGGTGGTTGTTGTTGAGGACGGGGTGGCCGTTGGACAGGGGCCCGTTCTTCGCCGCCTCCTCCTCCTCCTCCGAGTTGTCCGTCTCCTCACGGTCACTCCTCTCATCCTCCACCACCTGTGGGGACAGGGAAGGGGCGGCTTCAGGCAGCAGCTCCCCCGGTTCTCCTGCTGTGCCTCAGTTCCCTCAGCACAACCACGGAGGGGTCTCCCCACCGAGGGCTCTCTGGGCTCTCCGGGCATCCGAGCGCAGGCGGGATTCGGGATCTGGGGGTCTCCATCCACCCCGAGCGGGCCCTTCACCCCAGGGCAGCGTCCCCGAGCCCCCTCTCACCTTTCCAGTTATGAACTTCTGGGCCATGCGGATGATGAGGTAGGCCCAGAAGATGTGCAGCGACTGCAGCACCACCATCATGAAGTTGAAGAAGTAGTAGCCGAAGAAGGCGGGGTAGAGATCGAGCGGATAAACCACCGTGCAGTGCATGATCCTGTGGGAAAAGCCACTCCTGTTAGGGGCAGAAACCAGCCCCAGACACCCCCGTGGGCCCCCACTTCGTGCCTCAGTTGCCCCCATTCCCACTGGAGCTCACCAGAAGGGCAGGATGACCAGGCGGGTGATGATGAAGACGGCGGCGAAGACGATGAAGATGTTGTTGCAGGTGTTTCTCCACCCGGCGTAGTTGAACATTTTGGCAGACTGGGGGGGAGATGGGGCAGAGGGGGGTGAGTTTGGGGGGGACAGGGGATGTGGGAGGAGGCTGGGGGAGCTGGGGGGGCCGTACCTCCAGCAGGTAATCCGAGGAGTCGTGCAGGGCCATGATGAGCGTCCCGGCACGGATGTAGTTGGCGAACCAGGAGAAGCTGATGAGGATGATGGTGGCGACGTGGTGGATGATCTGCTCTTTGAAGTCCTGTGCCCAAAAGAAGGGGGAGTTGGGGGTCACAGCAGCCCAGGGATGGGGGAGTTGGGGGTCACAGGACCCCAGGGATGGGG